CTCATGTGGAATTCCATCGAAGCAATGAGAACATATGGTTTTCATAAGCACCTTTTTAGAATTCTCAAATAGCACTTTAGTTGTGACTATAGTAGACTGTTAGTAGAGTAGAGGCCTTCTAAACAATTGCCATCCACTGTTAGGGCAGGATCCAACCTGTACCAAGTGATGTGAATTGCATTTGGATGTGTTTATGGAGATCACCCAGGTGGGTTGATTTGGAGTTGGCGCCAATGTCAGAATGACAGATGTGGTTCGCAGCTCATATGAGGCACGGTTTTGGGGATTCGATTCTTGACCACGGGATTCAGATTTGCCCAGATGCTTGTTGACCCCAAGTAGAAGGCTCCTTGGAATAACCTCTCACCGTTCTCACTTCTCCGGCATTGCATGCTGTTGTGGGTTGGAGGACTTGGTCGAACAATGTATCTACTCCCTGGGAGATCATAGCACTTACCTCAGGCGAGGTAAGGGGACACTTCCTTCTGTGGAAGGGACCGCTGTGGAAGGGACAGAGGCCGCCACGGGTTGGGGAAGAAATGGCGAGGCACTACTCTGCCTGTTTGGCATTTCAGAATATATATACCTCAGCTCTTCTTTTTCCAGCGATTTTGAAGTGCCGTCAGGTGAAAGTGCAAACCACTACTCGTCAACAAGCGTTCTTTGATCGGAAACCCGGCTTGCCTGCGGTCAAGCCATCATTTCCCAAAACGGGACTGTGAAGTTGGCCGAGTCTGTGCCAGTATGTCGATCCTTCAATTGGCGCGGGGGTCTGGAGGAGTTCTTCCCAACATCAGACTCTTAGAGTAAACTAAATGATCGGACTCGTGCTCCTATCGGTGTGGTTTTTGTCTCCTGTTTAGACTGACGTCGTCTAGACTGTCTCGAGTTCTGCCTTCCTTCGGCAGGCTTTGTAACCTGAAACTCCTGTCGGACCACACCACAGTCGGTGTTGAGCACCGACAGTTGGGTGTTCCGACAGTTGGGTGAAGCACCGACTGGGTGAAGACTTCAGGAACGGAATCCCCTGTGATTCTTTCAAGGATGCCCAGGTCTATTGTGACCTTCAGGCTTTGTGTCCAGCCGGACAGTGCCAGCCTCGAGATTTGGAGCCTCCAAACCACGCAGCTCAACGGTGAACGTTCCGGCAGACCCAACGCCCGCAGACCGGCTCAAAAGTCCGGCTCTGGAGCCCAATTTCTTGGCGCGTCACTCATGGACTTGATTCAGCAGGCAGCTTGGACTATTGATCGTCCATGAGGAAACCATGCGAGGTTCCACATGAATAAACTTGAAGATGTTCAGGTGTGCAAGTTGTTGTCTTTGGCCCCGTGGAAGATTTAGATATATGTCAAGACGCAGTAAAGACTAATTATAACCCACGAAGAGTTCAGTTTTTCTCACATTGAATGGCATGAAGTCAATGCCGGGAAATCTAGGAGTTTGGTAGACATTTTAGAATGCCAAATTTCCAGCAAACTTGTAACTTGGAAAGACAGATAATTCTTGCCTTCAAACTTGAAGCTTCGGAATTATAGAACCAAGTTCTAACTATGTCGTTCTTACAGTTGGATAGGGCCCTGAAAATCCTAGGATTTGGAGAACAATTGGAACAATCCTTCTTTGGGGATCAAACTAAATGAACTCACACACTCACACACAACACTACCCCTCTAACTCCAGACCTCAGCCCGCCCCAGCCGCCTCCAGCTTCCGGGGTTTCACACCTGGCGCGATGCTGCAGAATTCTGCGGCCCTTGGACTTCTCCGCCATGGCCTTCCGCCCTGCACGCGTGCGCGTCCCTCACCTGGGGCTCCTAGCGCTGCGTGCTCCCCGCACGCCGAGCGCGGCGGATCTACTCCGCGCGGGGACGGTGAGGCGATGGCTGAGCTCTGAGAAGAGGGAGTTGGATCCCAATGGCCCCAGTGACGCTCTGACCAGCTTCACAGGTGGCTTGCCGACTCAGAGGCTGGGAGCCAGAGACATGGCGGAGAGGGGTGGGTATATAATTAGGTCAGGTGTTTGGAGGGTCTTTGGGTGAAGGTGAAGGTGGGGAATGTCAGGGATGCGGTGAAGTGGCCCTTCTCACGGCCCAAACAGATTATATAGATTAGATCAGTGAAAGGCCATACATTCTTGGACATTGTGAACCTGTCAAGATACTTGGAGACCCACATACCACTGGCAAGCATTCTTGGTGCTGCCCTCTTGCAGGAAAAGGCACTGGAGCAAATCACAGCACCCTGCAAAAACTGATCCTGTTCTGCCAAAAAGCGGCTCCAACCGCACAGTTTCAATGTCAGCTGCCCATATACAACTGGTCTAACCCGGGCGGTTCGCCGCCCGCCTGGACCACCGGAGGTCCACGGACTTTGAGCTGCGGCAGTCCTTCCGGAAGTTCCCACTACATCGACAGGTGCAGCTGGGGTTAATGAAGATGGGCCTATCCGTGCCCACAAGAGTTCAAGAGCCTCTGATCACTGGAGGGTGGCGATTTGGAGGGCTTTGGAGGCTTCTTGGGCGTTCGGTTTGTTCTGCTTGCTGCCAGCATGCTTGGTTTCTTTGATTCCCTTGCGCTCTATATAGAGTATATGTACATATATTTGCTCCCCGCCCATGATCTACCTTTTCCTGCTTTTCAGCCCCTGCCTTTTTTCTGCATTTTAGCTCTTCCACTTTTCCTGCTTGTCAACTGCTTTTCTGTACTGGGCTACCCTTTGTGTGGAATAGTTTATTCAGTTTATTCAATACCCTGACAAGATTTAAGAAGGGAGTTAAAAGAAATCAACTAAAGATTCTAAAAGGTAGTTAAAGTCAACACCAGCCAAAAGGAATTCAATAGGTAGTCAATAAAAACCGTGCGGAATTTTAAAAGGGAATTCACACATAAAGATAAAGAAACATGAAACGCATAGACGTGATTGCAGGGATGTTATTATTAAAGCCAAACAGGGCAGACATTATTGTAGGGGGGTTAAGTTATATTGTTCAAGATTTCTAGCGTGATGGGCAAACCCGTTTGTGATGGAATCGATTCAGAGTTTGATAAGATGTAATAACGGAGTTAAGGACAATTGATAAAAGCAATTAACAGGACATCAAGAGGAAAGGAACCCAATAGGTAATCAACAAAGACCACTTTTTTTTCAAAGGGCATTCGCACATAAAGATAAAGAAAAGATGAAAAGCGTAGACGCGATTGCAGATTTCGTGGCAGGTCCACCTTGAAGTGCAGAATTCGTGGCAGGCGCGGTACTTTGTGGATCCTGAAGTGCAGTTTTCGTGGGAGTTGCAGCAGGAACACTCGTAGTCAGAGTACATCTTCAAACAAGTTGCTTTGAGTTGATTTCTCCCAACGACAAGCACAGCACCCACAACCACCACAACCACAACTTCAACCACCACCACCACCACCACCGCCGCCGCCGCCGCCGCCACGACAACTTCAACCACCACCAGCACCACCAACAACAACAACACCACCAACACCAACACCAACACCAACACCAGCACCAACAACACAACACAACAATACAATAAACTGTAATTTCCTTTGTGTGTGGCATTTTGTGGCAGGTGGTCACAAGGTCGCACTTTGAAAAGAATGCCAGCTGTAGACCCTGGCCACACCCCGACGCGAACTCCCCGACATTAACAACAACTCCAACCGAGGACCCGCAAGCAAAACTAGCCTGAGCACCGCATGCATTTTACAGGATTGTAATTAATCAACGTCTAACAAATCTTGAAGACGCAGGGTATGCTGGAACGTCCAATCTTTACATTCCCCTCATTCTTGGGGCCAACCCTTGGACACTCCAGTATGCCCCTAGCCCAGGCTGACTTACTCTGCTACGGCCTCACAACTTCTTGTGAGCACTAGCTTCAACGGCTGTCCAGCGAAACTCGTGAAAAGCTTTGCTTTCATGAAAAGACGAGTTTTGCACCAGGTCATGGTGAAGTAGGTGCCTGTTTCCCGCTCTGGACAAATGTTCTTTTTGCGGCAAGCCCTCAACAGCAATTCTCTCCATTCGCCTTCGAGTCTGGGCCGCTGGCAACTCCAGTAGGAGTTCTAAAATTTGGCTCCCAGTGTGGGCTGTGTGTCCGCCTTCTGGAGTCCTTAGTAGCAATTCTTTACATGTGAATCCTGGCCCGGGCTTTTCTCTCAAGCATTTGACTGGGCTAGTGTGTCTGCCTGCTGGCAGCTCCTACTGCGTCCGCCTTCTGGCAAAAGCAATACACCAATACTCAAACATGATTTAAACAAATTCAGATGGGAGGGTTGCTGTGCAGATGTCTGTCTAGAACGGCCGCAGCTGCAACTATTGGCCCTTCATGACATCATGACTAGACGAGACAAGGAAGTTTGGAAGGCCGAGCGCTGCTCCGAACTGATCATTGTCTGCAGCGCTGGCTGTGAAATTTTGTGCAAGAGCATCCTACCCCCTGCCCAAGGAGGAGGCATGAAAGAAGGTTACCTTTGGACAGAGAAAGGTGAACCGATCCCATTTGGTGCCATTGGCGGGGCAAAAGAGGATGATGAGGTCATCCCTGCCTTTTTGAAAGGGGGCGGCCTTTGACCATGATGCAAGGCGTGGAGTTGGGTTTTTGGCACTTTAAGCCGCGCAACAGAGGAGGACTGGCGGCACTTTGCTGCAAGCTTCTCATTTCAATGCCAGCAACGATGGGACTGGTGATACAAAAAGCTAAAGGCACTTGCGCAATCCATAGGTCATGTTTGGAGATGCAGATTTGCGGCGGTCAGCTGTTTGCGGTCTACGGTTTTGTTTTTGGTTTTGGTCCAAAGTTGCCCAAGTGCGAGGCCTTTAGCAGAAAGAAAAAAAGATAGACATATATATATATATAGGTGTATATATATACATGTGTATGTATGTATGTATGTATGAATGAATGAATGAATGTATGTTTGTATGCATGCATGTATGTATGTATGTATGTATGTATGTATGTGTGTTGTTGCTTTTGGACAATGCGTTTGTAGTTGTAGGTAGGCGCGGTTTTCTGACAGGTTAGAAAATAGCTTTTGCGCGGGCAGGCCCGCAGAATGCAACTGTAGGTGGGGCATGGGGGGGTGTATGTGTAAAGTCCCTTCCTAATAGTGTGTCTGCCTGCTGGCAGCTCCTACTGCGTCCGCCTTCTGGCAAAAGCAATACACCAATACTCAAACATGATTTAGTATAATTGAGATGCGAGGGTTGCTGTGCAGATGTCTGTGTCTAGAACGGCCGCAGCTGCAACTATTGGCCCTTCATGACATCATGACTAGACGAGACAAGGAAGTTTGGAAGGCCGAGCGCTGCTCCGAACTGATCATTGTCTGCAGCGCTGACTGTGAAATTTTGTGCAAGAGCATCCTGGCCCCCTGCCCAAGGAGGAGGCATGAAAGAAGGTTACCTTTGGACAGAGAAAGGTGAACCGATCCCATTTGGTGCCATTGGCGGGGCAAAAGAGGATGATGAGGTCATCCCTGCCTTTTTGAAAGGGGGCCTTTGACCGTGATGCAAGGCATGGAGTTGGGTTTTTGGCATTTTTAACCGAGCAACAGAGGAGGACTGGCGGCACTTTGCTGCAAGCTTCTCATTTCAATGCCAGCAACGACGGGACTGGTGATACAAAAAACTAAAGGCACTTGTGCAATGCATAGGCCATGTTTGGAGATGCAGATTTGCGGCGGTGAGCTGTTTGCGGTCTACGGTATTGTTTTTCGCCCAAAATTGGCCAAATGCGAGGTTTTAAGCTTATATATATGTGCGCATATATATATATATATATTACATATATATGTATGTATTTTTGTGTGTCGTCATTTTTTTGGACAGTGCATTTGTAGTTGTCGGTAGGCACTGTTCTCTGAAAGGTTGGAAAATAGCTTTTGCATGGGCAGGCCCGCAGAATGCAACTGTAGGTGGATCATGGGGGGGGTGAATGTGTATATAGTAAAAGTCTCTTCCTCCACACGCTGCAGTATAGGAATGCTTGGTCCAAAGACCTCGCCGGCAGAGCGTTATTGTTCGACGGTGGGTCTGTGATGTGTCATTGGGGTGCTTTGAGAAGGGATGCGGTATAAATACTTATCACGAAAGCTAGCCTGACCTAGCAAGTTATATAAATGACGGGTTGGACGCGCCTCAGAAAACTTAAAATTAACAAAATCAATGTTAACGACCCCTCTTCGGAGGTTCAACTCTGCCCTGCGCGCGGTGAGCGGGTGGGCATCTGCTGCTGCTGCTGCTGCTTCTTTTTTGAGTTGGCCATGTAGAAGAAAACCAGCGCAAAAGCCTGCAAAACGAGTGCTGAATCTAGCACTCGTTGTGGACCATTTGGAGGCAGCATGTCATGCCTAGCATGAACAGCTTGGTTTGCTGCTGCTGCTGCTGCTGCTGCTGCTTGGTGGTCTGCTGCTGCTGCTGGTTGGTGGCCCGCTGCTGCTGGTTGGTGGTCTGCTGCAGCTGCTTGGTGGTCTGCTGCTGCTGCTGCTGCTTGGTGCTCTGCTGCTTGGTGCTCTGCTGCTGCTGCTGCTTCTTTTTTGAGTTGGCCATGTAGAATAGAAACCGGCGCAAAACGAGGGCCAAATTTAGAACTCGTGTTGGGCCGATTTGGAGGCAGCATGTCATGTCTCTGCTGCTTGGTGGTCTGCTGCTGCTGCTTAGTGGTCTGCTGTTGCTGGTTGGTGGTCTGCTGCTGCTTGGTGGTTTGCTGCAGCTGCTTGGTGTTCTGCTGCAGCTGCGGGGTGGTCTGCTGCTGCTTGGTGGTTTGCTGCTGCTGGGTGGTCTGCTGCTGCTTGGTGGTTTGCTGCTGCTGGGTGGTCTGTTGCTGCTGGGTGGTCTGCTGCTGCTGCTGCTGCTGCTTGGTGGTCTGCTGCTGAATAACTTGGTTTGCTACTCGTACTGCTGCTGCTGCTGCTGGGTGGTCTGCTGCTGCTGCTGCTGCTCTGCTGCTGCTGCTGCTACTGCTTGGTGGTCTGCTGCTGCTGGTTGGTGGCCTGCTGCTGCTGGTTGTCTGCTGCAGCTGCTTGGTGGTCTGCTGCTGCTGCGTCGTGGTTTGCTGCTGCTGGTTGGTGGTCTGCTGCTGCTGGTTGGTGGTCTGCTGCAGCTGGTTGGTGTTCTGTTGCAGCAGCTGCTGGGTGGTCTGCTGCTGCTTGGTGGTTTGCTACTGCTTGGTGGTCTGCTGCTGCTGCTGCTGCTGCTGGGTGGTTGCTGCTTGTTGGTCTGTTGCTGCTGTTGCTGCTGCTGGTGGTGCTGCTGCTGTTGCTGCTGCTGCGGCTGCGCAGCCACACTCTAGCATGCGCGCGCCTCCCCGCCCGGCTAGCTTTCGTTCACCCCCTCTGGCCCCAAGTTGTCGTCAATGACACCAGATTCTCGCCAAACAAGATTGGACAGTGGGGATAAAGGCACAAAACACGCTTCCCTGCAGGACGGGAAAACCCTACAGATCCAGATAAAATTGATGGAACATCAGGGCGAAGGACCACTTCCAACAGGGTGAATTCCACTTCAGCAAGGAATGCGTAGCTCAGTCACTCCTTCATCTATGTACCGCCGTAGCTACCACACTCAGCTCATCAGGGACGCTGTACCACCCCCGACCCACGGGCTGCCTGCGCGCCCTCGACTTGAGGACATGACCTTGCCCATGCTGCTGGAAGGAGTGTCAACCTTCATCCTGGCACAAACTGGTACAGGGAAGACCTTGGCTTATGTGCCCTGGTCTTCCAGTGGCGAAGGATGCAGAATGGGGCCAGACAATTAAGGAGGTTCGTTAGCCTTCAGACCATCGAGAAGTGCTGGGTCTCTGGACGGGTCATCAGTCTCAAACTCCCTTCAAAGTGAGGCCCCGATCCTTGCCGATCGTAGTTAACAACGCTTGAAGAGTATCCTGTGTTCTGTTTGGGTAATAAAGATCCTGGGTTCTTTCCCCCCCGGAATGGCCCACCAACAGCCTAAAGTTAAGGTCTTACCGATCGTGCACAAGTTGCTGACCACCAACACTGATGCTCGGCAGACCGTGTCGCCAGCTGTTTCGAACTGCTCTCGATGTACCACATCCATCGCCGCCACCGCCACCGCGATCGCCTTTCCCGGTCTTTGTCCGAGGAGGGTTTCTTCCCCAAGAGTCGGCGCCCACGTGCGATCATCGTCCAGCCGACGAGGGAGTTGGCCTTGCAGACGATCAAGGTGGTGCGGAACTTCCCAGTGAGGCCGGTCGGATATGAGAATGAGGGATTGATCAATGGGTTTCTGATTGTGAGAGGTTTCAGGTGCTTTTCGATGTGATTATGTCCAATTCTTTACTCTTGCACACTTCTTTGTTCTCCCTGTGTAGGGTGACACCACACAAGGTGAGAAAGGAGAAACACCAAATTTATTGGACCCTTCTATGGATTCCATTCGATGCCTTCTACCTTTTACCGTTGATTTTTTGGACCACTCTCTCTCTCTCTCTCTTCGGCTTCCCAACCACACAGCTCCAGGGGCCACGAACAGGTCGGCGGTCTTGGCGCCCAGCTGCTCCTTCATCAAGGAGTCGCAAGCGTTGCACCAGGGCGTCGACGTGGTGGTGGCCACACCCTTCCGGTTGATTTTGCACCTGGCGAAGGCCCTGCGGTCCATGTCGTGTGGAGCGAGCGAGCCTTGGTGTCGGTGCCATGGGGTCCTCAGAGTCGGCTGGGTTTGCTGTGGCACATCCAGACTCAACCAGAAACCGCACCACCGGTTCTTGTTCTTAAAGGGTGCCTCATATGGGTCGAGAATTCCAGACACCTGGCGCAAGGCGCACCTGGAGCTGAATGACGTGCGGCACGTGGTCTTAGATGAGGCGGATACCTTGTGTGACACCTTTTACCAGAAAGAAGCCAGCAAACTCTTGTGCCTCGGTTTCTGAACCCACCGAACTGAGTGGCGAGTTCTCGGATTTTTGGACGGATTGGATGGGTCCGATGTGGGCAGGTTTTTGGGACACCTACATTAAGTCTCTTCAACATAGTCCTTCTAGATGATGAGGTCCAACTCTTGCGCTGTTGATCGCACCGATGCAATGGGCTTTGGGGGGTGAACGAACGAAGCTCTGCCCATCTTGCAAAGCTCCTTTTGGGGGACATGACAAATACATGACATATCCATTCCCTTGCACTCTTCCCTTGACACGACCTCGCTTTCTGGCTTTCTCCCCGACCACGCCGGCGAAGGCGCAAGTTGCGATGGCCAAGTCGCGACCGACCGGACGACCGGACGAACGACCGAGGCAGGGCTTGCAGAAGGACTGCCGCGTGAAGCCGCAGATCGTGGTGGTGGGCGCCACACGCACGGGCGCCGTGAGCGCGTTTCTGCGGCAGCACCTCAACCAGACCGAGGCCGGGGATTGGGGCGAAGTAGACAGTCCAAGGGATTCATGTGAAGGAACCATCAGGTCAATGTAGGTAGTGGAAGGTGTAGAAGTTGTTGTCTAGTGTTGGAAGGGGTGTTTAGTCCTTCACCTGAATGGCAAATGGAGACCTGGTGGTGGACATACATCCTTATGGACTGCGCGCAGTTCTACGTTGACCGGGAGCGGCGTCCCTTGGCTTCAGTAACATGGGTTTGTATTGAACTAGGATATAGTGAGACCCATAACCAACGTTGGTCCATTTTTTTCTTCCAAAAGGTCTGGCTGGGGTTCTCCATAGTCTCCCTATTTCAATGCACGCCCACATGTTGTGGCTTGGCCTCCCCTCCTCACCTGTCCAGCCAGGTGATGCCGGTGGTGACGACTGACGCGCATGTGCCGCCCCCGAACTTAGAGCAGGTCTTCGTGCCAACGAAGGGCAGGTGAGCGATTGGGTGTGGGATGTGTGGGGAGATTCGGAGATTCGGAAAGATGAGTGGAAGGATGTGGTGCAAAAAGGAGCCAGTGGTGATTGACTGCAGGTTGTTGTAGTGTCCTGCAAGCGCTGGCTTGTTTATTTTACATCGTTTTATATACATTGTTCTTTGAAGCAGATTTAGATGGGAAGAGTTAAACCCCGCAGCATTTCTTCCAGCCTTCCCAAGCAGATGAGCTTCCCCCCTCTCAGGCGGCTGCTGACAGTGCTCTGGGAGGTCTTGGGAGAGGTGGCCACCGTCAATCGAAAGACCTTGATTTTCACGAACCGTTTGCCCAGTTGTCGCATGGTGCCTAGGATGTGTTTGCTGTGTCGAGGGGAGGTGGGCTTGTGGATGGGCGAAAAAATGAAGCAGTAGCTTTCGAGGATTTTCAGATGGAGTGATGGTAGTTCCTTTCTGTGCGGTGAATGCTGGGGATCAAGCCATTTCTGGAGTTTGGGCTGAGGTACCGGCATTGTGTGGCCACATTCCAAATTATTTGCTTCTTCGCTTCTAGAAGCTGGAAGCTTGCACCATTTCAAGAGGGTGTCTAGGGCATAGTGATTCGGTATGATTTGGTGTTACAGGCGAACCAACAAGCAAGTACGTTCTTTACTTGGGTAGGTAGGCAATCAACTATATATGTATATATATATATAACTACTTCAATCCAAGCCTTGTTTCGGCCAGAATCGACAATGGGGCACGCAGGGTCAAGGGCTATAGTTTGGGAAGATCTCTAGGTAAGTTGTCACCGACTAGTTTCGCTACTTTTCGGACTGGCATTGATTCTACAGGGAGGGGAGGGTACTTCTTTGCATGGCCAAGGTCGTTGGTATGGGAAATGGCCACGGCCATGTTGAAGGTCTTGGTTTTGAGCGGTTCTGGGTGTTGATCTGGGAAGCAAACCAACCAAACGATCCATGCAGACGATCCCTCCAACCCTGGTGAAAACGGCCTCCGTGCTCCGAGGTCTTCAAGAGCCTCCAGGAGCACGGCGTGAATGCGGTGGCGCTGCACGGCAATGTGCACCCAAAGAAGCGGAAAGAGGCCTATGAGGCGGGGAGGACGTGAAAGTGTATACATATATAATGTTTTTGTTGAGAACGGCGGAGGCTTGATATGTTGCATATATATATATAGTGCTATATAATGTTATATATATATATAGCGTGTGTGTATATATAATATATAGGTTATATCGAGTAGAGTGTTGCACCGACAGTGGGTACAAACATAGCCCTTCATCCTCTCACGGAAACAAAGGTCAAAGAACACAGACAGACCTACAGAGGAGGCCTGGAAGGCCTCCTGTTCTTGGTAAATTCCCAGTGAGCGATTCCCCTTCGGGTCCGCCTTGTTGCTCAAGGCCTTCAACAGCGCCTCTGGAGCGGAGGTGATGGTCTGTACGAACTTGGCCTCCAGGGGTCTCGACTTTAGCGTCTCGGCCAAGGTCTGGACTGGGAAAGGTGGGGGTCTCAGCCACCTGAGACAAATGCCTTGGTTGGAGATGCTTGCTTTGCCTCACATTGTCTCCCAAGCTCCCAAAGGTTTATTGTCTTTCTCGCGGTTTGTAGTTTGTAGATGTTTGTAGTGGATTTCTGCTGATTTATGAAAAGCCAGAGCCGGAAAACACATTTCATGCTGCCTGGCACAAGGGGGCGAGTTAGACCACCGCCCGGCACCTTCTTGGTGAAGTGACCCACAAATGGATCCGTGTAGAAATGGCTGACAACAACTGCCAACCACGAATGCCCTTGTTGAAAGCAGAGACTTTCTTAAAGGTACTTTGCACTCCTCATAATTGCTCACATGCAGTACAACGTTTTACTCACTTGTGTTTTCTTTTTTCTATACCATTACTGTATTCTCATGTCTACACAATCATTTGTGTGCTTTTCAAAAGCTATCAGACCAAAGAAAAACCCAGCAAATGCCACCCAGGTAATGTCCATCACGTGGTCATGTACGACTTTCCCTTGAACATGGCTGACTACCTGCACCGCGTAGGGCGCACCGCGCGCGGGGGCCGCGCCGGGCGCGTGACGACGATCACGCCGCGGCGCTATTGGCCCTTTGTGGCGAAGATCCAGGAAGCCACCAAGGAGGGTCTAGCGGAGTAGAGCGGAGTTTTTGTGAAAAAAAGGCCGAGTGAAAAGAAAGGATGGACCCTTGAACTCTTCAATAGTTTATCTTTGAATTTTTAGATAGATTCAACTAAGTATATAGGTGACAATTTGATAATCCTGACATATTCTGACAAACCTTTTGTTTGTTGCTTCCATTTTTTAAATCTACTGGAGGACGTTGGCGAACATTTTTTAAAACCCTTTGTGGAGTTTCCGGAAGGAGCCTCGATCTGGGAGTTGCCCAAGTCTCGGTTTAGGAATGAACGGCCAAGGAAGAATCTCGAATCCACAGAGCTTGGACCTCTCCATCGGTCAGAACACCTGGGCACTGGGGGTTTCGCTGTCCCGCATGGTTTCAGGGCTCCTCCGATGGTGGGTCCTGAGGGTCGAGGTGGATGACAAGTGTATATGTATGTGTACACACAGTGAAAGAACACGGTGGTCGCAGGCCACCCATATCCACCCATGCTCCACCCCCGGCAACGCTGCGGCAACGGCCGACGGTGAATTCGAAGGCGTCGCTCTTGCATGTATGTCAGCGGCGAAAGCTGATTCGGTTGAAAAACGAAGAGGGATAACACCTTGAACCTGCACGGTCATGAGGTTCCGACGGGAAAGCCGCCACACGTAGCCCGGTTACGGTTACGGTTGCAGTATATAGAATAAGTTGCATACTGCCCAAGACCACTCCCTCCTTCCTTCCGAGGGATCACGCATTGTGCTCTGCGCTCCAACGCCGCCGCGCCGGGTGCGGGGCAAGCAAAACTCCCAGTCAGACCGCATAATAAGCCAAGACAGTTGTGGGAGCAGACGTCGGGGCTTCCTGACCGGCCGCGTCGTGTGCCCAAGGCGACCCGGTCCCGGCGTACTTCGGCGTACGGTGCCCGGAGGGGGTCGTGGCGCAATGGGCTGCAGCGGCCGAGAGTCAAGACCGCGCGCCCAGTGGGAAGCCAAGCTCACACTGCCGTGGATCGCTTCGAAGAATGGCGGTATTGTTTGTCTCGTGCTCCTCTCACGGTTGCGTGCGTTAGGCAAAAGAAAGCCCGGTCCGCATCCAGGCGCGGTTCCAGCTGGTAGCGCTTGAGTAGCTCTTATGAAGTGTAATGTGGTAGTGGTAACGGCAGGAGCCAATTAAGTCACAAAGAGGATGGAACTATGTTGGGGTTGCTCTTCCATCAATAGGTTCGTCGCACCAGCTGCGGGCGCGAACCGCTACTGGTCAAAGCCCGAGCCTGTGAGGTTGCGGGAGCGCTGACGAAGTGAACGTTACACAATACGGGAGCTGACCCCAACGCACGCCCGAGGGCCAAGCCACGTGCAGAGTATCAACGAGGATGTCGCCGGGCTTGAGCGGAAACTGGCGGAGGCGAGGAAAGAGCACAGGTGTCCGATGTCCAGACACCGGCATATCAACGCACTGTTGAGAATGCTGCGCCTTAGTTCAGTCGCGCATCGCTCGTTGCACCGAGTTGACCATCCCGCAGGCAAGACGGGGTCTGGCGACACTCCATGCGGCGGATGAGCATGGAAAGCTCCAAGAGCTTTTCGCGCAGGAGCCGGGACATTGGCCCGAACAGGCCAACAAGGACGAGATTTCACGTCTGGAGGCCCGTCGGACCAAAAAACTCGCCACTTGAGGGTGCTAAAGTGCCGGCGTCATTTGAACGATGCGGCCTTGCGCCCGAGTGCCAAGTGCACATTCTGACCTGTAGACCTTTTCATGAAGTTTTTGATTTTGTAGGTTGTAACAGAAGGTTGGCGGTATTGCACTTGGTTCTCTGTCTCTCTCTCTCTCTGTGTTCTACCTACCTACCTACCTACCTTCCTACCTACCTACCTTCCTTCCTTCCTACCTACCTTCCTACCTTCCTAATTTCCTACCTTCCTACCTTCCCTCCTTCCTACCTTCGTACCTTCCTACCTTCCCTCCTTCCTACCTTCGTACCTTCGTACCTTCGTACCTTCCCACCTTCCTACCTTCCTACCTTCCTACCTTCCTACCTTCCTACCTACCTTCCTTCCTACCTTCCTTCCTTCCTCCCTCCCTCCCTTCCTTCCTTCCTTCCTTCCTTCCTTCCTTCTTTCCTTTGTTCCTTCCTTTTTCTTTTCTTGTCTTTTCCTTTCTTTGTTCATTTTTTTCGTTTCGTTTTGTGTTTCGTTTCTTTTCTTTTCGTTTCCTTTCCTTTCGTATCCTTGCCTTGTCTTCCCTTTTCTTTTCTTTTTCTTTTCTCTTCTCTTATCTTCCCTTCCGTTCCTTTCTTTTCCTGTCTTTTCCATTCTTTTCATTTCTTTTCAATTCTTTGTCTTTTCTCTTCTCTTCTCTTCTCTTCCCTTCCCTTCCCTTCCCTTCTCTTCCCTTCTCTTCCCTTCTCTTCCCTTCTCTTTCCTTCTCTTCACTTCTCTTCCCTTCTCTTCCCTTCTCTTCCCTTCTCTTCCCTTCTCTTCCTTTCTCTTCCTTTCTCTTCCTTTCTCTTCCTTTCTCTTCCTTTCTCTTCCTTTCTCTTCCTTTCTCTTCCTTTCT